GAAACCTCCAGCAGAACCAGGCTCAGTGTGAGCGGCCATCTGCTGAGGCCCACTGGGGTTCAAGGAGACAGAAGCAGAGAAAAAAAGTTACAAAAAGAAGAGATTTTCTTGCTTTGCAATTTATGATTTGTTTATTTAGTGCTGAATGATTTAATGCAGTTTAGAGAAGTTTATGCAGTTCTACTCTTGAATGCATGCTCAATAACTTCATAGATAAGACATGTTTAACTATGAATAACATATGCTATTTATATTTCTAACCACAGAGTTTGAGCTACTGAATACACGGCACCCTTGGTGTCGAGTAAACCCTCAGTTTAAAAACAAAAGAGTAATCTTATGTGGCTATCTTTACATTTTTAGTTATCTAGAGATTTCCTGGAATTAATTTGTGTGTCCTGTCTGTGTTTTTGCTATTTTAGTCGGACAGCATCAACTGACAGGCCACAAAGTCGCCGTGAAGATCCTGAACAGACAGAAGATCCGCAGCCTCGATGTTGTTGGAAAAATCAAGCGAGAGATCCAGAATCTCAAACTGTTCAGACATCCTCACATCATCAAGCTGTAAGTAAGAGAAAGACTCACACTCCCCAAGGGAGTGAAAGAGTCTTTCTACTAGCAAGAAGGTGACGTGAAACGTATCAGTGTTCTATAACTGGCTGTTTTTAATGCTGGTGCTGTGCTATGCTGTCTGTGATAACAGAGCTTCCTGGTTCCTGCATGTTTACTATTGCTGTTCTGTACGGGTCATACCTGAAAGATTCCCATAGGCTAGAAAACACAAAAACAATAACACTGCCTCCTGTTTTTATCGCAGAGAATCATACATGCATGGACCTAGACAAAAAAACCTGCCTCTTTTCAGATCCTCTAGTTCAGATAAATCCTGTGTTAGTTGACTTTAAATGCTGTCTTCTTTCTTTGTCAGCCAACAATCTGTGTTATTTTAAGGTTCAGTCGACACTTTCACACTCAGATGTGTGAGCTCTCCGCTCTTTACAAGGAATTCTGTCTGACTTAGACAAAGCCACTGGGGCTCAAACTATTTATCAGAAAATTCAATACTTATTGTATGTATGTGTGTATGTGTATATATATATATATATATTAGGGATGGGACGATTTATGTGTATATGTACATATATATGTGTATATATGCATACAGTGGGGCAAAAAAGTATTTAGTCAGCCACCAATAGTGCAAGTTCTCCCACTTAAAAAGATGAG